GGTAGGCACGGCACAGGGCGGGCAGGAGGACGGCCATGCCTGCCACAGCGCACAGCACGGCTGCCCCCTTCCAGAGCCCACTAGCTGACTCCAGGTCCGCCAGCACCGTCTGCCAGTCCCCCAAGCACAGGAAATAGTCTCCCCCCTGGGCTGGTGGCTGGAGGTGCAGGGAGCCGTCGGGGTGCAGGGCCAGCTCCCCGATGCCTGTCAGCCCAGCCCCCACCCGCAGCATCTCCTCTGTCTCAAGGATGCCCTTGGGCTTCTCCCCGCTCAAGTACTGGCCTAGGAGGTCACGGAAGCCGTGGGCGGGCTGCTGGAACCGCTCGTATACTGTCTCCAATGGCAGGCAGATAGCTCGGAGCGGGCTCTCCACGCTCACCTGCGTCACCGCCTCTGTGTCCGGTGAGGCCAGCAAGAAGGGGACGGTGTAGACCTGCTCCGAAAGCACCCGCTCGCTCTCGCTCCTGCAAGCAAAGAGCACAGCACTGAGATGTTGAAAACTCTCAGCTCCTGTGGCTGAGCCAAGGATAGGGACTAGAGCCTTTAAATAAGCTGCTTTCTGCCTCTTAAGTGGCTCCAGAGGATGAGAGTCTGGACCCACCAGTGCAAGCCCATCCCTGCTGTCCCCTCGCATTGCTCACCAGCTCCGGGCCAAGCTGTTCCAGATCAGCCGATGTTCTTTCAGAAGCAGTTTCTGGATCACGCCCTGCAGCCCCTCATGGTAATGGCTGGTCAGCGCAGCCTTGGCTGGCAGCACTATGCCTAAGGACCAAGGGAGGCACCATGGATGAAGGAGGAGAGCCCAGCCCCTGTCCACAGGGTAAGGCCACAGGGGTTCCTTACCTTCCAGGGCAACATAAGGCAGGCACCTCCCATCAGCTGCAGACACCAGTGCTGGTAAATCATCGTCAACCTGGAGTTTTGGGGCCTCCTGGAAGAGTGAGGACTGAGTGTGAACACGGGCAGGGGCAGGTGGGCTGGCAGGCAGAAGGTGGGTCATGCATGGCTTTGTGGGGAGCTCTGGCAGGATGTGACCTGCTTGGTCCTGGGCATCGTGACACAGGTAGAGGATGCAGCAGGCTGCAGTCATCAGCGAGGTGCACCCAAATCAAAGGCTCTGGGGTGGGCAGTATAGGGCAACAGGGAAGGGACAGTGGGTAGAAGAAATGTGAGGGACAGGGCTACCTGTATGCGTGCTACGACTCTGGCTTTCTTCCTGTACAGGTAGTAGAAGAGGCCAGAGAAGGCGAGGCTGGAGCCCAGACACAGCAGCTCCCCGGGCGTGATGGGTGACGTGTCCATGGTGCCAGGCTCGGGCGGCACGCCTGCAAGGTGAGCGTGTTTGCTGGGGGACAGGTCTGTGTCAGCCTAGGGGCAGGGACATCCCAGTGCCCCTGTCCCCAGAGTGCTGCCGCCTTAGGGCCCAGCCTGCCCACGGCCCCAACTCCAGCACCCAATGAGTGCCCTGTAACCCCGGCCCGACCCAGCAGCCCTTGCCCAGCCTGGGTCCAGAGGTGCCCGTCTCGGCCTGCACCCAGGATCGGGCCGAGGCCCAGCACCCATGACCCAGCCCGGGCCCCACCTCGGCCCAACAGCCCCAGTCCGGGCACAGCACCCCCCATCTGGCCCGGGCCCAACACCCCGGCTCGGGCCCATCCCCCCCAGACCCAGCCCGGCC